CAGATACCCACCTGAGTTGTTTAACCTAAAGGCATATCCTTTCATTCCCGACGAAAAGCTCCATTGACCTGTAGTTAAAGTGAACTGGGTTGCCCGTGTCCTCGCTCTATACCCCATCCCCAGTTATATGGGTAGATGTATGTTTGTCTTTTTCATGATTACTCGCCAATTCTCAGGTTACCACTAGTATTCAGTTGGGAGAATATTTAAATTTCTTTTCACACCACCCAAATGGTGAAGCAGCGCACTGAATCAACAGATCAGTATTAGTATACAGNCAGTGGGAACAGGGTTCATGAGGCCATGATCGTATTCATCCCACCACCACCATCATCAAAAGCATTTAGTGATCCTGAAAATCAAAAGTAGTACATCAAACATAAAATTCTCCAAAAGCTTTATTACTTAATTACATAGGGTTACATCATTCTATGTTCAGTCGCTATAATTTCACACTGCCTTTTCGGACATCAAAGCAAGCCGCATCGTAGAACACCATCTGGGAGTATAGGATAAGGTATCAACTCCTGTACCACTCATTTTTCTTCCTGTTCGTGGATGCGCCGTTAGTGCGGCTTGGATGGCAGTAGGTTACTGGTCAGTCAGTGTCTTTCGATGCTTTCAACCATCCCCTTGCGGCTTTCTTTTGCAACGAGGTGACATACCACGCCCTTGGACGTACGCACTGATCTTCTAAGATCGTCTGTCAACTGAACCGATGCTCATTGGGGCCCGGTTGACTACCTCAGTGGTTGTTTTCTTACTCGAGATCTTGGAACGCGCCCATTAGTTTACAGCTATACAGCTCACTGACCTGTATAATTGTACTGCCTCAAGCTACTCTGCAAACCCATACTTGCTCTCTATGTATATTTTTTGCCACTCATTTTTTTTCCAAACCACTGGTCTTTCATATCTGTCTGCCAATCAGGTTCCCTTAAGACGAGCTATGAGGTTAGTTTGTGATCACCAGCATCAGCCGTTCCCGATTCCGTATGTAAACCTAGCTAATTCAGTTGCCAATACTGGGTTCTCCGAAACACTTTCAATGCGTACAGATTTTCTGTTGTAGGTGGTTTCAGTTGAGGAGTGCATTTCATCCAACTAAATTAGTAATGCATAACTAACAGATACATTCGAATCACTCATGAAGAAACCAACAATTCTCTGTTGACCACTACTTCCCAAGCTGATTTGCTAGCGGATCAAAACCTAAACCTGGGGCCCATCACAAGAGCCTCAATCCACAGGATGAACATCACGAATCAATTCCCTAAAGCTTATTGCACATTACGGGTTCTATTTATGAACCATGGGTGCGTTCTTTTATATCTGGATAAGTTCGGGGAATCAGATTGGCTCTTTTTCTCTTTGCCGGATAGCTGCAAGAGTACGCTTCCTTTCATGTATATATATATATAACAGCTAGGTATTACTTCCTTGAATCGAGAAATTCACTGGGTTAAAGGGTACAAATAACGATATTCCTTGTTTTATCTAAGCACCTGTTCTTATGAATCATGGATTCCAAAAACTGGAACTGCTCGGTTCGAGGACAGAGCCCCAAATCTATCCAGTCTGTTTCTGTAAAACAATGGTTTATGAAAACAGTTACTTCCAGTTTCATGAATCAGATTGTTTACTGAAAAAGCTGTGCGGCCCTAGAAATAAAAAGTTTTCACTCATCAAAACCAATCACTTTACCGTCACCAACACCACTTGCCTGTTTGCCTTTCCAGATGATACTATCTCATGTCTAATTCATTTTCCATTATAAATGATTTCACAGTTAGACAAGAGGCTTTTCACTTCGCTTTCTGTTCTCCATCAATGCGTTTTTACTACTCTTCATCCACGCGCATCATGTCTTTATTTACCAAACCATCAGTCAGGTTTGATCCCGTGGGGGAATAATAGTTCATAACGTTTGATGGATCGGTTGTGTTGCTCATACCAGAACTGAGTGATCCGCTTTTCATAACGTATCGTGCTCAGATTTTTTGTCAATTATTGTCTCCTTCGTTATGCTCTATTTGTTTCTTGCAGATACATCTACTCGCATGCGAAATTGCCCAGACATTGACATTTATCACACTATGAGAATCGGATCGATTTGTTCGTGAGATCTCGGTGAAACATTTTCTTGATTGTCTAAGGGATTTCTTCGTACACAGGGCAAACGAAGGATGAACTGGAAAACTCGGAAGCACTGCAAGTCTGTTCCAGCCTAAATCGAATCCTGTACTACTCTCATGTAACAAGTGGTCAGGTTGGAATATCTCCAACCGAAGGATAAACATTGAGCCTCATGCTGAAGTGAGCGAGCCGCGATGCCCGAAACAAGCTCGCAAAGATGAGTTGTGCTATATCGTGTACATGGAAAATGATAAACGGTCTGACTGGCTGCTCGGTGGTCGAGGAACGGGTAGTATGCTTGCGTTCTGCCTACTTTGGTAGATGAATTCGTACTATTGATGAGTCCCAACCAGGTCGAAATAACCATACAGTGTTTTCACTTCATGCTTCATTTGGGTTGTAACACGACTGAATCATTGACTACTGACATGTTTCCCTGTTTGTTTCCATAGTTACGGTTTACACTCTCACTAAACTAAACTTTCGTTATTCTACAGTAGAAATGCAGTAGAAAACTCTATGAACTAAACAGTTCGGGGTTTCGTTTCCCCAACAAAGACGTTCCCATAAAATACGAATAGCAATTTTGCATGTCATTTTAGGTCAATATATGTGATTGTTTCAGAATATACACTACAACCAACCTCACAAGTTTGACATTTTAGACTTTGGGATTATAAATTGACAATCATGATTTTTTGTTAAATGTACTTCTCCATTAACGTCCCCGAACTCCTTCCTACTGGCCGTTATAATGGACTTCTCCGCGAACGAATGAATGTAGTCCGCCCGATGTCATTCGCATCCGAGGACAAGCATGAACAGTATGAATGCGCACCAGGCTGATGTGAATTGAGCAATAAGAGCAACTCGGTTCTTGTTTCAGCACAAAATGGATTCTCTCATTTTTTTCAGATTTCGGTTTACAGTTGTTTGTGACTAATCATGTGGTATAAATGAAAGGAGTTTGATAGTCCATGCCTCGGCTTTCATTTACTCACTTTGTAGTCTGGGCATCCGGTGAATTATACACTTGTAATTGAGGTTCACTCATGCGGGACCTCATCATCATCATCATCATCGATCCGCCCGGGATTTGAACTCCGGATCACTTGACACTGCCGACTTTGTCCCCAGGTGTAGTCATTTTTGGGCCAGATAGGTCCCGCCGGCAGATAGCATGTGACATGCGAACTTAAATCAACATTCCCTGGGCAGAAATACCTGTGAGCTAGCCTAGTTGGTTTGTCTGAAGTTAGGCAACAAAACTTGCAAGGAAGACCGGAAATAGTTTGGGAGATTTCTGTTGAAGTTAACGGATATCACATTGACAAACTATCGAAAGTATTGAAAAGCGATCAGCGTGGCTGGGGCACACTGAATTCATTTTCGCCTGCTTGCCAAACTTGGCTTTGTGTTTGCAAACATTTCACTTGAGGTGATATC